TGTTCCATTGTTCACTTCGTTCCAACGGAAATGTCCTGGACGTGATAATGCCAAATCCTGTTGGCATGTACCACCTTTGGCTTATTTCGCTGACCACATTTTATTCGGAAAGTCACGTCTGAGAGACGATCCACTATGTCATATGAATAAGACAACTTAAGAGGCTTTCCTTTGGTCTTCCTGGAATTATACAGCCACACCTTGTCTACTGGTATAAAGTTGACTTCAGTAGATCTCTTATCATAACATAACTTCAAGGAATCAGCAGACGTTTTCAAGTTTGAACGCACTTGATGGTGAATATCATCCATCCTTTCAGATAACACTTTCACGAACTCTGACAAATTTTCATGCAACTCTTCATAAGGTGGGTGTCCTCTTAACAGATATTCTGGCAACCGAAGTTCCCGACCAAACATCAACTTTGCTGGAGTGTATCCAGTGGCTTCATGCTCTGCTGTTCTATAGGCCATCAATAGTGGAGGGAGTAAGATATCCCAGTCACCTTGGCAGTTATTACAAAACTTTGCCAATTCCTGTCCCAGTGTCCAGTTGTACTTTTCTACCATCCCATCTGACTGTGGGTGAAGTGGCGTTGTTCTGGTCTTTGGTATGCCAAACAACTTACAGCATTCTTGGAACACAGCTGATTCAAAGTTACGGCCTTGATCTGAATGCGGTTCGTGTGGCATACCAAATCTGAAGAAGAAATTACTAATTGCCGAAGCTACAGTTGTAACTTCCTGATTTGGTATTGCATATGCCTCAGGCCACTTGGTGAAATAATCCATCACCACACAAATGTACTTGTTTCCAGCACGACTTTGGTGCAAAGGACCAGCAATGTCAACGGCTACTCTTTCCATTGGTGCACCAACTTGATATAACTTCATTGGAGCACGTCCTTTATGCTTGGGGTCCCTTTAGCACAACATGTCCTGCACCATTCTTCCACATCTTGCCTCATACATATCCAGTAAAATCTCTGTAGTAGGTGACTCAATGTTTTCTTAACTCCGAGATATCCTCCTGTTAAACTATCATGGGATTGACGCAGCACAACTTCCCATAAATTTCTTAGTATAACCATTTGTCAGGTTGTCACTTGCCCATCTATAGTTCCCATCTCCGGAGAAGCATACCATCTTCAAGCTTCAACTGGTCCCATTGTGCCCAATAGTTCATTGTCACAGGGCTTAGACTAGACACCTTCTCCCAAGCAGGGCGCAAAACACTTGCTTTTAGAAAATCAATTATTAGCTTCAAATCTTGATCTTTCTCCTGCTCTGCTTTAATATCTATATTTGGTTCCTCTTCACCATCATCAACTCCTTCAGTCACTTTGACTTCAGCTTGATGACACCTGTTTAGTTAAAACTCTCTTTTAACACTTTAACAACTTTGCAATACATAGAATTTCCACGGTTATTTTAACTTCAACACACGCTATAATTCACAACGATTTACACACTTATGGCTTGACTCGATTATCTGTCTCTATTTCCCTGTCTGCTATTCAATTATCTATCTATGCCGTCACTTCTCGTCGATCTTATATATATATATGAAATAGAGGGCGTCTGGCAAACACTCCAAAGAACGTTTGAGATACTTATTACGTGTTACCAGTCACATGACTTCCGCTGTCGTGACACTAGTCTTCAAGAAATCTTGATACATTAGTTGTAGGAACTCTGATCGGGTAAATTGGAAGTGCAATGCTATGATCAGGTTAAAAGAAATTGTTTTCCAACTTTATCCGTTCATCCTGCAGAAAACAACATAGTTTTATTCAATACTCAACATATGAACCAATTACAAATATATCTAATGCTATTAACTTATATTAATTTATTTTTAAAACAAATGTTTTAAAACAATTTTACAAAAAGGGAGAGGACGCTCTATGCAGTTTATGTAATTTCCTGAAACCTGTGAGGTACACCCCACGTCCTAAAAATCTTCACTGTGGTCGGCGTAGTTAATATCAAGAGTATTATATCTGATATTAACTTATAGTTTTTACAAAATGTCTGGATTTGATGCTTTTGAGTCTGATTTTAATAATGAAAGTCTTCCAGAAGAAGACCCAGTTGCTGAATTTTATGCAAGAGAACAGAATGAATTAGCAGGGCTAGAAGATGACTTGAATTTTGAGTCTCCAGCAAAATCTCAGACAGACTCTCACTCTCAGCAAGCCACTGCCGACTACGAAAATAGTAGGTTTTATAATATGAGTATGGTTGTAGACTATTTTTCTTAAACATAAATTATATCAACAAATATTTTCCTAATTTGAAAGGTAGTGTTGGTAGCAACTGAGTAAGGTTTTGTGATCTTGGTTCTAAGTGTATTAACTTGATTTAAAATTGGGTTTAAATAATGTAATGATAATATATTAGCATGAAATTAATTACAATTGGATCATTTCTTAAAATTATCCTAAGAAATTAAACAGGCTACTTAAAATTGGGAGGTTCTCTTAAAAATGACCCAATGGAGACCATGTTAGAAGATTGGTAACAGACAAAGAAATAAATCATATAAAAGAAATTACCACAGTAAGGGTATTGCTTACAAATTATTAATGGTGTCCTGCATCTGTATAGTAAATATAGTTTGATAATGCTATAGAACTAAGGATAGTTGTACTTGTAGCAAATTTTTTAACTAGCAGATTCATATTTATAAATTAAAGCAAACTTGTATATTTATTTTTTCACAACAAAATTAAGTCTCTAATGTTTATTCTTTTTTATTATACAAATGGTTTATAATAGCATTTTTATCTTTATCACTTGCATGTTCTAATTCAGTAAAGCAATAGCATTTAAATTTTCACAAGGTATATCTACTTTAAAGCAGCAAGAAATGTGAGGTCAGTAAAACTAAAAACCTGTCACTGCAGTCACCAGTAAATCTCTTAAACTTTGCTTGGTCATTGAAACATCTGCATGGCTCAACTATATCATTCTAGGAAACAAAAATTTTAGTTTGTAATAGTTATTTTTGAGATCCCCAAATATCTAACTTAATGAATATATATATATGTGATAAAACTAAAGTAGTGGAACTTGCAAGAACTTGCCCAAAATTAAATATGTAATCATAAGAAGTACAGGAGAAATATTTGTATCACAGAACGGTAGAATAATCCTTATTTCATGACTCTTCTGCCCCCTAAATTGCAAGGTCTTTTTAACAGTTTTCTCAAACTTAGACATTATAGTTTTTAACCTGTCTAAGAAGTAAATCCTTTAAAAGGCCTTCCTTTTGATGTATACATTGTTTGTCACCACTGATGGGCTTATTATGAACACTGGACTTTTAATCTTTAGGTTACTAATCTCTGGAACCCTTGTCCTTAACAGGAGTTTCGATTCATTTTATTATATTTTTTATATGCTGAAGTATGACAGGGTAGTTTTCTTACTCAATTCTTTTTTTAATAACCCTAATATTTGTATGGTTATTTTAGCATATAGAACTTACCTTGCATTTTCTCTCCATGGTACCTCCAAAGTCAATGACAGATATACACTCCTGTAATGCTTTGTTTTTGAAGTATACTCTTCCTAGGTAGTGCCAATAGTTTGTCTCTTGTAAATGGTCAAGTTGTATAGGTTTGCTCAGATTCATCTTATTCTTGAGGGCAAGTGAAGAGGGGTTAAAAAAGATGATGTAATCTAGATTATATCTTCATGTTCTTCGTCAGCAAGAGTATTAAATCTTGATCTCATAACTTTGGTTTCTCATTCTCATATAGTTGATTGGTTAAGCACTGTACACTTGTATTGTCATACTACTGCATCTAAAGAAAGATAGAAAGCTATTATCCAAGTTTTTCCTATTCTCAGGGACTTGCAAATATTTGTAAAAAAAATGCTTAAAATTTTGTTTTTGATCAGAAATAAGTTTTTTGGGCACACCATAGTCTATAATGTGTACCTGTATATAAAATTGATAATGAGTTTTTGTGCTAGTGTTCCAGCTTTTTGGTTTAGCACAGCATTTGCTTAGCCATTTTGTAAAGAATTCTTATCACCAAACTACCATTATATACTTATTTCACCATCTGACTGATAATGGATTAAGGACATCAATGGCTTCTGTTTTTAAAGTGATGTTAAAACAGTGTATTATTGTAAGTGCCCATGATGATGATGATGCTGCTTCTGTAATTCTATGTGTGGTACCACTCCTTATTAGATTGTTGATTTGCACTTGTATAACCTTTCATAATGTTTATTAAAAGATTTCTTAATGAATTTATATCTTAAGTGTTTCTAAAGCCATCTTTATATTTGATCTATGTTATTCTGGGCAGATATAGTTTGACTGATAACTACCATGTCAATTTGAAACTATACAGAATATAATTCTGACTGTACTAATTTGACAGTCTTTCACAAGTAAGTTGTGCATGTTGTATGTATAAATACAGTTTTTTTTTAACATGCCCCTCAGGAGCGAAGCGGTGTCTTTACACTAGAATTTGCTGAATATTAAAAGCAAGTTCAATCTGGAAACTCTCAAAGAGGGTGGTTTTGGATCTATCTTTGAGACAAGTTTTCATTTGATAATTGATATATTTTTAAGTGAAATACAGCATCCTCAAGTCTCCATACTAGCCAGTACTAAGATCTACCCACTGGGAGTAAATTCAATATATATCAGTAAAGCCACATTCTCAGCATCATAAATTTTTTAAGCATTTGCCAACCTTTTATGCTTCTGCTATCACTTTTTTATGTTTAACTTTCATTTGAGATATGAACAATTTTCCCTGCAATTTGGTAGGGAAAGTGGAATCATCACGATAGTCAGCAGTAGGATGAGCAGACAGGAACACTTTGAAAGCAGGTACAGGCATAATATTGTACTTGGCTTGCTGCACAATATCTACAAGGTGGTTCTAAATGGTTCCTGAATACCTCTGTGTGTCATTTAGAGACTTCTATGCTTCTTATGCTTAGCCATTAAGCTTGTGGCACACTGATGAATTTCAGTTAACCTTATCACTTCAAACCACTTTTCACAGCCCCAATGCTAAAATAGTGCAGGAAATGCCTTCTTTTTAGCCAATAAAAATGTGAAAAAAAATTCAGTTCAAATTAAAAAAAACTGGATTGGGAATTTTTTTTTCAACAAAAATGTCCCCCACTTGCCCATTAGGGGCCTGTTAACAAAATATTTTTACTAAAGATTTGTTTGTGAACTTTTGAAGCCTTAGCTAATTCATTCTGAATGTAAAGTGATTTTCAAAATTAAGAATAAATACTTTTTTTTCATCTCACAGTTTTTATAATTTGTATGTATAGCCTCTAGGACCACCTAATGAATGTGAATTTTTTTCACTAAAACTTTATGCTTAATCTCGTATATCCTCTAACCTAAAACTAAATAGCAAAGTCATTAGAATGAAAAGTTGAAAAATATGAAATAAAATGAAAAAATATTTTTTTTTTCTAGAATGACTGTAGATTATAACAGACAATTACAATTATTTTTTCTAGAATGACTGCAGATTATAATAGACAATTACAATTCTTGAAGGTAGCTTGTATATGTGGAAACATCTGTTAGCTGAGTTCTTGCACAGATCTTAAAATATAACATTGATAAATGGAAACATAGGCACATGTAGATATGTAGATCTTGAAAGTCGAGTTGTTCAGAACTTGAAAATAGCATTGATAACTGGACCCATTGTTGGTTGAGATGTTGCAAAGGAAATATCTGCTGAAACTTTTCGCCAGACACTAATCATAGCAGAACCATCTGGAAAATGATCTATACGAAATAGCACAGCTTATAAAATGAGTCAGATCAACGTAGGCCAGTAAGGCAGTCACTGATTGGCAAACCCTCAGCCAATCAGGAAATGTCACAGACCTACTGAAGGATGTTTAGATTGTATAGGAATTCTTTTTGGAGGCAAAGG